GTCCCTTCCTCTCAGAGTGTTTCAGAGGATGCTGGGCCTTATGGCCTCTGCATCGCCAGTACTGCAGTTAGGCCTCCTTCGCATGCGGCCTCTTCAACACTGGCTGAAACCCCTGGTTCCATCCCGAGCTTGGCGTCACGGATGCCTTGGTATCAAGGTGGATCAAGCCTACATCGCAGCCCTTGCCCCTTGGAAAGATCCTTCGTGGTTCAAACAGGGCGTATCCCTGGGGATGATGCACAAAAGGAAGGTCATCTTCACAGATGCGTCAAACACGGGCTGGGGAGCCCTGTGCGACGGCAGATCAGCCTTTGGCAGGTGGTCGAGCGAAGAGACAAAGCTGGACATCAACTGCCTGGAAATGCTGACAGTATGGCAGGCTTTACAGTCCTTCCTACCACATCTAGAAGGATGCCACGTCTTAGTCCGATTGGACAACATGACGGTAGTATCCTACGTAAATCGCCAGGGCGGCCTTGCCTCCCCACGCCTATTCAGGATAGCAAAGAGCCTTCTGGAGTGGGCACATTGCCACCTGTGCTCTCTGAAAGCAGTGCACGTGCTGGGCAAACTGAACAGGGGAAACATGACGGTAGTATCCTACATAAATCGCCAGGGCGGCCTTTCCTCCCCACGCCTCTTCAGGATGGCAAAGAGCCTACTGGAGTGGGCACATTGCCACTTGCGCTCCCTAAAAGCAGCGCACATACCGGGTGAACTGAACCAGGGAGCACACATGCTGTCTCGGAGCAACGTCCCCTCTGGCGAGTGGATGCTTCACCCCCAGACGGTTCGGAGAATATGGGAGATCTCCGGGAAGGCAGAGGTCGACCTCTTCGTCTCAGAAGACAACTCTCACTGCCCAATCTATTTTTCGAAGGAAAGGGATGCGCTGGCCCACTATTGGCCCAGCCTTCTCCTTTACGCTTTTCCCCGATCGCCCTGAGCCCTCAGGTTATCAGGCAAATCAGGGAACAAAGGCACAAGGTTCTTCCTGCTCTGGAGAAACCAACTATGGTTCTCAGAGATGTCTCAGCTGCTCACGGCAGCTCCATGGCCCATTCCCCTGAGACGGGACCTCCTCTCTCAGGCGAACATGACGATATGGCACCCCCAACCCAAGTTGTGGGCCCTACACTTATGGCCTCTTGATGGGAGCCTATGAACCTCCCAGAAGGGTATCTTGAATACCATTTCTCAGGCTAGAGCCCCATCTACAAGGCGCCTCTATGCCCTCAAATGGTCGGTCTTCACCGCTTGGTGTACAAACCGCGGTGAAGATCCATCCACATGTGACATATCTTCGATATTGTCCTTCCTTCAAGAGCTGTTGGATAAGGGTCGCACCCCCTCCACTCTTAAGGTCTATGTGGCGGCTATAGCAGCTTTTCATGCTCCTATAAACGGGATATCGGTCGGCAGGAACAACCTCGTTGTTTGATTTTTGAAAGGTCTAGGAGGTTGAACCCCCCTCGCCCTTCTACGGTCCCTAAGTGGGATCTCTCTACGGTTCTGAGGGCGCTCAAAGGCCCCCCCTTTGAACCGCTGCAATCCGCTGATATTCGACCCCTGTCACTAAAGACCGCTCTGCTATTGGCTTTGGCATTGGTTAAGCGAGTTGGAGATTTACAGGCGCTCTCTGTGAGCCCCTCCTGCCTTGAATTCGGGCCTAACGACTCCAAGGTCGTCCTGAAGCCTAGGCATGGTTACGTACCTAAGGTGCTCTCTACCCCATTCAGAGCACAAGTAATCACGCTCTCTGCGCTCCCCCACTTGCAGGAGGACCAGGAGCTAAATCTGCTCTGTCCTGTCAGGGCATTAAAAATCTACATTGACCGCTCCATCTCCTTTAGGTGGTCGGAGCAGCTCTTTGTATGCTTTGGTGGCCGCACCAAGGGGCTTCCGGTCACAAAGCAAAGACTATCCCGTTGGATAGTTGACGCAATAGGTCTTGCATACTCCTCCTTGGGCCTTCAATGCCCCAATCGGGGTCAGAGCACATTCCACGAGAGGCATGGCCTCATCCTGGGCATGGTCCAGTGGTGTGTCCATTGCAGAAATTTGTGCGGCGGCCGGCTGGTCCTCGCCGTCCACCTTAGTCAGGTTCTACAACCTGGACGTCCCTGCATTGCAGGCTCAGGTCCTTTCTGCTTAACTGTCTCTCTGAGCTCAAATGCTCCAGAAACCATATCCCTGCCCTAAGGCTGGATTTAATCCTTGCTGGGTTTGACTATGTTTCGAACCCACTAAAGTTCCCACGTCTGGGCTTAGCTTCCGGCACGCTCTCGGCCCTATCTAGTTCCGAGGCTGTGCGAAGCTCGTTTGACTATGTTTCGAACCCGCTGAAGTTCCCACTTCTGGGCTTGGTCTGGGCCATTTCTTTGCCTCCTCTTGACCCCGAAAAGAATCCGAGTCTCTGGCTATGGCCTGCTTCATTGTAGTTGATCTACAGGGCCCCCTTCTGGACGCCCTGGACAATTACTTATAAGTCGTTCATCTACCATAGCACGGTGTGATTGAATAGGTTCCCGCAGCGTCTAGCGACGCAGTACGAGTGAAGTATCGAAAGGGAACGTACTCGGTTACTAACGTAACCTCGGTTCCCTGAGATACGGGAACGAGTACTGCGTAGTTAACCGTGCTATGACGCTGCACGACTCTTTCGTCGCTTCAGTCGATATGATCCTATACCGAGCACCTGCTTATATAGCCAGATGCCACACCCATTTTGGTGAGCTGCGCCATCATTGGTTAATTTCTGAAACAATGGCAGTGCAGATGCACTGCTGTGATTGAAAAAAAGGCTTCAGTAAATCGGAGAAAAGGAGTTTCCCGTAGCGTCTAGCGACGCAGTCGTCTAGCGACGCAGTACGAGTGAAGTATCGAAAGGGAACGTACTCGGTTACTAACGTAACCTCGGTTCCCTGAGATACGGGAACGAGTACTGCGTAGTTAACCGTGCTATGACGCTGCACGACTCTTTCGTCGCTTCAGTCGATATGATCCTATACCGAGCACCTGCTTATATAGCCAGATGCCCCACCCATTTTGGCGGGCTCTGGCGTGCTGCTTCGCCATAGGCTCGCGCAGCTCTGCTGCGCCGTCATTGGTTCATTTCTGAAACAATGGCAGTACAGATGCATTGAAAAAAAAAAAAAGGCTTCAGTAATCGGAGAAAAGGAGTTTCCCGCAGCATCTAGCGACGCAGTACTCGTTCCCGTATCTCAGGGAACCGAGGTTACGTTAGTAACTGAGTACGTTTTTTTTTCTCGCAATGTAATTTGTCAGATGTCAGATTTACTTTGTCATGTCTGTGGTATTTATGATGTGGTAATAATGTCCTATTACTTGTACAATCTTTCGCTACACACTTAAGTATGTACTTTTGCATCACAAAAAAACCCCAGCTTGATTTGTGCATGGTGTACACAGGCCAGTGTGTTACAGAGCAGAATATTGCAGTAACATGAGATATTCACATGAAGCGCACCTGTTTCCGATCTTCTTCTTGCACACTCTGCAGGTTTTCTCATCTGTGATGACACACTTCACCTGCTGGTGAAAGATGCGTTCCTCCTGCACCTGCACACGAACAAAAAAAAACATTATTAAATTACATTAAATTAAACATAGGGGCATTTTGGAGAGTTAGAATTAGTGATGCTTTTAAAGCCCAAAGTATACTTCGTTTTTTACACGTACGCTAGCATACAGCTTTGCCCTTAATTTAAATTTTTTTAGTAGGATTACAGAAGCTCGGCTGTTTTTAAGTATTGCATCTTTTCCAGTAACAAGCTAGATTTTCCAGCAAGTAACTTCGTAATCTGACAAAATGATGCATTCACCAGTACCTTGTTTTAAAACATTGAATACAGCTTCAAAAGTAAGTGAGTCTTTAGCGGGCAGAGTCAAATTGTTCACAAGTAATCGTACCCGCAGGAACTCGGCCTGAAGGAGGCTCTTCAGGACCTGGTCAAAGCGCTTCCTCCCAGCCTTCTCCTCCAGCACACTCTCCAGAAAGACCTGGATCTCTCGGATCTGTGTGTTGGCTGGCAGCAGGTTTATGGCCTTACGAGAGACAAAGAGAAACACAATGAGAGAACATGCCATGGATTCTGTCTGTGGGTTTGTTACAGCATGCAGTATGTCAGTATTTCACTCTCAGACCGGTGAGGAAAGGAAACTGTCATGGTTTGGTGATAATGTCTTCAATTCCAGACTCAAATGTATATTTCCATGTGTTCTCGATGGATGCTTACTTTGGTGGTGTTTAGTTTGCTGTGGTGGAGCTGAAGAACTTTCAGGGCCGCCTGGAGGTTCGCCTGTGGCTCACATAACTCCATCTTAATGGGCCCGAGGAAGTGCACATCCGGAGGAGACAGATACATGCGCAGCAGGGACAGATACACCTATAGACAGGACGCAGACACACGGCACCTCTGTTAACATTAGACAAGGAGTTTCATCACAAGAGAGATGGTTTTACATTTGCAGTTGACCACATTTACACAGTGTTTGGGATTGACAACCATATTTACTAACCCTCAGACTTAAAGCCGCACGTACTGTATCTGTGTGATACTGACTACAGTAAATATTAAAGGCGACTTTCATGACCGTAAAGTCTCATCACAACTGACACAATATTACTCAAAAACTTGTGCATGGGCAACCATAATTGATGGGCATATCATTCTTAATAACATTGTTATTAGTGCAATCATTATTACTGCTATCATTAGCTATCAGAATGTTCATTAACTGGACACCCTAAAACACTCATCGCAGTAGTGTTGTTTCCACCATTGTGGAGACGCTGTATGTTTCTACGCAAAAGCAAAAGCACTTTATATGGCCTTCTGAAAGTGGATGCAATTAGGAATCAGTGGTTAAGATTTATCGATCGGCTTGGTCATCTGCATTTTCTAAATCTGACTCTGGCTCTAGGGCTGCACGATAAATCGAAATGGAATCGAGATCGCGATTCGACAGAAGCTGCGATTGTCATGCGTATCTTTCAGTGAAGCACGGTTCTGTGATCAGCAGTAAATCTCCATCCAAAGGCCAGAGGGCGCTCTCGCGCTGAAACTCCAAAAACGCCTCGCAGAAGAAACCCAGAAAATGCCTATCGTGGCAGCTGAATAAACAGAAGATTCAACTGCTTTCATTGATTCAACGTGACTAATAAACACACGACTACAGCAATATACGGTTTATCCGAGTTATTATTATTATTATTATAATTTTCATTAAAATAAAGTATATTTATAATGCAATGCCTTTATCACTATAATGCGTGCCTTATTCTGTGTAAGAAGCCACATCATCTCACAGAAGGATTTATTTCAAACACTCGACTGACGTTATGAAGTGAGTTTGGAGTAAAAATATGTTATTAAATGTGGTATTTTCACATGCATTCAGATGGAGCAGCATTTACTACACAGAGCCGTAGTTCACTGAGAAGTAACGCAAACAGCTGTCATGATCGCGAACGATTTCTTAGATTTCATAATCGCGATTTTTTTTTGCGTAACTTGTCGGTGGGTTAC